TTTGAAAATTTTGCCCCCAAAATTTGATCAACCTCTCCCAAACCACCTCTAATGAATAAAGACAATACAACAATAAAAGAGCTTTGAGTGATAACAACCATACAATGACAATAATGAATCCATGATAACAACAATTTAATTATAGCATGGAGATCTTAATCTCAACTACTCTCCACTACCATTATCAAAATTTTCCATGGACCAAGGCCACAATACCAACAACCATTAAAACGATAATCAAAAGCATAGGTTCAACAATTGTAACAATCCTATAACAGTTCTCATGCTTAAAAAGACAACAAGTGGTTTACAATTTCAACGATTTATTCTCACACACAAGAGAAAATTACAATCTAGAACAAACTAAGCATTCTCAAATAAATTTGAATACTTGGAGCAGAATTCCGCTTCTCGTTCCCAAGTTGCTTCCTCAACCCCATGGTGTCTCCACAACACCTTCAATAACTATATAGTCTTGCCCCTCAACACTTATTCTCAGGCATCTAAAATTTGAACCAGTCGCTTTTTATATAAGACGTCCTCATCTACCTCCAAGTCAACCCAATCAAGTACATGTGAAGGGTCGGGTTCATACTTCCTAAGCATAGATACATGGAATATGTTGTGAACCCCAGAAAGCTGTGGTGGTAAGGCCAAATGGTATGCCACTTCTCCAATCTGTTCTAAAATCTCAAAAAGGTCCAATAAACCTTGGAGGCAACTTTCCACTCTTACCGTCTTGGCGACATCTTAAGAAACACATGGTCACCAACCTCAAAGGATAGAGGTTGCCTTCTCTTATCGGCATAACTCTTTTGTCGGTTTTGAGCCGTAGCTAACCTCTTTTGACTGAGAACAACTTTCTCGGTCGTCTCTCTAAAAATCTCCGGGCCCAACATTGGTGTATCACCCACTTCAGCCCAACAAACTAGTGATCTACAAGGTTGGCCATACAAGGCCTCGAACAATGCCATCCCGATACTTACCTGATAACTACTGTTATAGGAAAACTCAATCAACGGTAGGTGTCTTTCCCCATACACTTAACATCTTGATCAATTGGGTGATCATCAGAACTAAGGATATTCTCTTGATTATCAATGTTGTACTCACCAATGTCAATATCATCATCATCATCATCATTATGTAATTTGTATACAGTGTTGTTATGCCTAATGTTGCCTTCTATCTGTGGTAAGTATAATAAAATTAATTAGATCAAACTAAATAGTTAGTGATATTACAATTAGTTAATGAAATTTCACTTATTATTTTACCATATTTCACTTATTACTCAATTAAATCGTATTTACTATTTAATGAGTTGTCACTTATTACTTCATTAAACTTTACACCAAAAAGTCAAAAAGTCAGTCCCTTTACTTCATTAAACTTTACGTTTGGCCTCAGTTGTCGACTATATATTTTAGCCAAAAAAGTCACTATAAGTTGTCACATCACTCTCTTTACTTTTCTGCACATCTTTTTATAAAAAGTCAAAAAGTTATTAAAATAGCTTGTTCCCAAAAAGTTACTATTCAATTAAATTTCACTTATTACTCAAAGTCTCTACTTACTTCACTCATTACTTCATGAGCTTCTAGGTACTACTTCATTGGAATTTACCTACTACTCAATCAAACCCAAATATTACTCAATGATACTCAGACTTTCTACTTCATCAAACTTGAGACTTACTATTAAATAAAATCTCATTTAGAGAGTGTCATACTAAGTGATAAGTCATTTCAAAACAAATGGTAAGATAATTCATAACGAGTGATTAACAAGTTTAGAAATCTAACCAACTTTAGATAGTGTCATAGTATGATCTCATTTATTATTGAATGAGATTTCACTTACTATTTCACTAAAGTTGACTACTACTCTGTTAAACTGCATTTACTACTTAATGAGATTTCACTTACGACTTCATTAGACTTAACATACTACTTAATTAAATTTCGCTTATTACTCAATGAGACTTTACCTACAATTTTATTAGCCTTGACTTATTACTTAATCAAACATTTGACTTGACAACTATTGAGAGGTAAGTAGAGTTAGAACGAATAATATGACTTGACTTATTACTTAATCAAATATCTAATTACTGACAATCATTAATTGATAATTAGAATTAGAACAAATAATAAGTATTATATTTAATAATGATAAGAATTATCATAATTGATTGTAAGTAAATTAATAAAATGTTTACTTATTATTCGATTAAACTTGACTTACTATTCAATTAAATATGACTTATTAATTAATGAAATTTCACTAACTACTTATTACTTCTCTACTTACTATTCAATTTGACTCAACTTATTATTATATCAATTTAACGGGTGCCTCTATTTATACACCATCTTTCATCTCAAGGCACACCACTACTCAAGGCACACCTTTAGTAATTTGATAAATAAGAAATTTGCTCAATACACACCACAATCTTCTATCTTTACCCTTACTCACACACCCCACCCACGATCTTCCATCTTTACCTTTACTCACTCACACACCCCACCCACAATCTTCAATCTTCCATATTTCGTGTAGTACACACCTCCACTTCAAAAACACACACGTTATGAACGTCTCCTTCCATTTTCTGTTTCATTGTCATCTCAGAGGTTTGAGAGCCAGTCTAAACCAGTCTCTATTCGTGCTGAAGACGACTTCTCTCCATTCTCCTCTGGTTCACAACCCCCTCCATTATCTGTTTCATCAAAGACGTCGGTGTCACAGTTGGAAACAAATCCACATTGGAGATACAATAAGTGAGAATTCTCATTTGGCTTAGATTTTAGGATTTTATGTACGTTTTTCCATTGTCATGAGCATTGTATTTAAAAATTTCATTTTGCGAACCGTTCGACACTGGTCTTTCGAATGTTAACTTTTTGTCCGGAGTGTTTATGTCAAACACTTGTAATATGTTCGACATTTTAGTATCGAACATAAGTAAATTGTTTGGAGTAGATAGCCAAACATGAGTTCATTGTTCGAATCTGGGTATCCGAATGAATACAAACGGTTTACTACTCAGCAAGTACACGAAAACGAAAAAAAGAAGAAGGAAAAACTAACATTTTCCTTGCTACATTGTTTCAAATCAATATTGCCAGATGCATCCATCATTCAGTCCAATCAAAATCTTCAATAATACGTATATTTTTGATTGTTTCTTTAAGGGTTTTTGATTTTTGTTTCAGGGTTTTTGGGTCCTTGAGAGAGAAGATACGTAAGTAACGTTTGAGAAGAGAGGTGTGTATTATATTCATTATTGTCTTTTATGGTAATTTTACGTAAGGTGTGTATCATAGCATTTTGTCCTTTGTGGTCATTTTACATTAGGTTAATATTGTAATAAAAAATAAACTAATTAATAGCGTCCCTTGAGATGAAAGGTGGTGTGTAAATAGAGGCACCCTAACTTAACTTAAACCTTATCAATGAAACCTCACTTACTATTGAGTCGTAAGGGGTGCCTCTATTTGCACACCATGTTTCATCTCAAGGCAAACCATTAATTGATTTATTTTTTTATTACAATATTAACCTTATGTAAAATGACCATAAAGGGCAAAGGGTTATAATACACACCTTTTGTAATCGAGTTCAACACTAAAATGTCGAACAAATGATTAATGTTCGAACGAAACACTCCGGACAAGTGGCTAAGTCACCGACATCTTGAGGAGTCTTTACCACTGGTTATGTTCACCGGTGTCTTGAGGAGTCTTCATCACTGGTTTTGCTCACTGATATGTGGGGGTGACAATCAATCAGAGAAAGGAGGGGGAGATGGATCGTGGGTGGGGGTGGAGTGTGTGAGTAAGTGAATGAGAGTAAAAATGGAAGATTGTGGGTGGCGTGTGTAAGTAAGGGTAAAGATGGAAAGTTGTGGTGTGCATTGAGCAAATTGCTTATTTATCAAGGGAGCTTCTATCTACACACACCAAATACCCTCTTTGCACACACTTAATGATATTTAATTTTATTACAATTGTATCCCTAAGTGAAATTACTATTTTAGACACCATTGTTAATTCAAAACATCTCAATGCACACCTCCCTCTAGAGTTCACATCTGTTACATCGTGTTTGTAGCTTCATTGAGCTAGAAGTGAAAGCAGAGTCATTCATAGCTTCTTCCAAGTTCATTGAGCTAGAAGTGAAACCAAAGGGCTTTGGCATTTCCGTATTGCACATACACTGCAGCTTCTCAATGCACTCATTCATCAACCTTCGTCATTCGTAGGGAAAACATCATTGTTATGGAGGATTTTCCTTCTGAAAATCAGCAAATAAGTGTTCATGTGAAACAGAGCGAAGGAAATATGAGTTTAATTTTTTTTTTCCCAGCGTCGTTTGGATAACTAGGGCCGAATTGTGTTATTTGGTTCGGAAATCTACTACTGAAATAATTATTTATTTTCGGAAGTTCTTGTCCGAACAAAGTAATAAATTTCGGAAGTTGTTGTCCAAACAAGGTATTTAAATTCGGAAGTTATTGTCCGAACAAAGTAAACTTTTACAACATTCAACTTCCGAAATTTGAAAATAAATTCGGACAACTACTTCCGAATGAAGTAAATTTTTTTTTCCCATTTTATATTCCAAATTTGCAAACTGCATACCAAATTTACAGTTTCAAATTGCAAATTAATCTTTATAATGCCATTAAAAATTTGTAATGTTATACAAAACATGCAGGAATATGTGTCAACTCAAGGAAGTCAGGTTTGCGCGGATTTTGTGTTAGATTACACCACTCAATTCACAACTGAACAGGTTCACTCTACGAAATTATAACGATCATGTTTCGAATTGCTCACCAAATGTAAATGTTTGATAATATTTATTTAACTTTGTAGGTATTCAAAAGTAAAGATGAATTGCTCAACTGGGTACGTGAAGTTGGAAAGAAAAATGGTTTGGTCATTGCAATCAAAACATCAGACTATGGTGGAGGGAAAAAAAGACCCAGGATGTATCTTGCTTGTGAGAGAAGTGGCCAATATAGAGCAATAAAGAAGTTAAAACATGATGGCAACAATACATCAAGAATAACCGGTACGAAGAAGTGTGGTTGTCCTTTTGATATGAGGGCTCACAGGTTTACCACACATGATGAATGGACATTGACCGTAGTATGCAGATTGCATAATCATCCACCTGCGGAGCACCTCGAGGGACATTTATATGCGGGGAGGCTATCAAAGGATGAGAAAGCATTGCTAATGGATACGTCAAAGAGCATGGTTCGGCCAAAAGAAATCCTAGTAACCTTGAAACAGCGAGATGCCCTCAATGTAAGCACACTTAAAACCATTTACAATGTACGCCATCGAGACAGGGTGGTACAGAGAGCTGGAAGATCACAGATGCAACACTTATTGGGTGAATTGGCCAAGTATAATTACATTGAGCGCCATCGGTCTGATGAGTCCACGATGACTGTGATAGACTTGTTTTGGGCACATCCTACCAGTTTGGACTTATTTCGGTCTTTCCCATGTATATTAATTATGGATATATAAAATCAACAGATATCGGCTTCCTCTTCTTGAAATTGTGGGAGTGATATCAACTGAAATGACATTCTCTGTAGCTTTTGCATACTTACAGTATGAGAGGGTCGATAACTATGCGTGGGTGTTAGCCACATTACGTGATGTCATGGATGGGTTTGTTGTGCCAACAGTTATTGTTACTGACAGAGAGCTAGCCTTGATGAATGCCATACAGAAGATATTCCCGAGTGCCAGACATTTATTATGTCGTTGGCATATCAGTAAGAATGTGTTGACCAAATGTAAGAAAATGTTTGAGACACAGCAGAAATGGGAGAAGTTCAACCATGAGTGGAGCTCTATAGTGTATTCATCTTCTGAAATTCAATACGATGAGTGTCTTAAATCATTACTTATTAAGGAATTCAGTAGTTATCCTGATGCAGTCAAATACGTCATGGATACTTGGTTGGTTCCTTACAAGGAAAAATTTGTGGCGGCATGGACAGACACGTGTATGCATTGTGGCAATGTTACAACGAACCGGTAAGATTACTTTTCTTCAATATGTTATTAATAAGTGCCATGTACTTGATTTTAACTTGACTTACATTGAATTGAACAGGGCTGAGAGTGCACATGCAAAACTTAAAAGACAATTGGGTTCATGTCAAGTCTCATTTCAGGCATCATTTGAGAAAATACACAGTCTGCTTGAGTTGCAACACACTGATATCAAGGCTTCATTTGAGAAAAGTCTAACTGTTGTGCAACATCAATTTAAACCTTCTCAATTCAAGAAGCTACGGGGTAATGTATCTATCTCTGCATTGGAGTATTTGCTTGTAGAGAGTAAGAGAGCCAATTCCATTGGTATTGATGTTAAAGCTTGTGGATGCGTCCTTTGCCACACTCATGGTTTACCTTGCGCCCATGAGATTGCTGACTACATCAGACAAGATCGTCCTATACCACTTGCTACCATACACTCACAGTGGAGGCAACTTCATATCTCCATATGCAAGAAAGAAGAGGAAACAGAGATGACTTGTCATGCAGAAGTAGAGTTGTTTGTGAACAAGTTTAATGAAAGTGATAGAACCATGCGGTTGGAGCTTTTGAAGAAGTTGAAAGAGATTGTATATCTGGGAAGCACTTTTCTTGTTGAGCCGGAGGTGAAGCCCAAAACACGTCCTCGAGATCATAAGAAGATCAATGTTTCTACCCGTCGTGACCCGTGTGCATTTGAGTTAGTGCAATCTGGACATGATTCCTTCTCACCTAGGGACACTCAAATCACTACATTAGCTTCTACTCTGCAAACCAAGAAGAAGGGACCTGTTAAGGGAAAGGAGAAGGTGAATCCGAAAGGGAAGGCATACATTACTAGAACAGTGAAACCTGGTGCATATGTTGATGCTTTCCCTGTTGGGTTGAAACCATACATTAAGTTTGTGAAGGATGTAGCTGCAGATGGGAATTGTGGTTTCAGGGCTATAGCTGCTTCAATTGGTCATACAGAAGATGATTGGGCTCAAGTTAGGCATGATCTATTGGGTGAGCTGCACACACACAAAGAGGAATACATTACACTTTATGGGTCCTATGAAAGGTTTGAAGAATTGACAAGCATATTGTCATACTTTGAAGACTGTCCTGGATACTCACATTGGATGACTATGCCAGACATGGGGTATCTTGTTGCATCGTGCTACAATCTTGTGTTATACCACTTGTCTTTACAGCAATGTCTCACCTTTTTACCTCTTAGAACAGTGCTAGTACCTCAACTTGATAGACGTGAGATTGCCATTGGGTTTGTCAATGGAAATCATTTCGTCCAGGTATAACAGAAACTTATCAATTGGGTTTGCGCATGTACAAGAAGTTATGAGGCATGACCACTAAGTCAATTGATATTTGGTGCCGGTTTTGTTGCAGCCAGGCCATCTAGTTCCTCCTATTGCCACTAATTGGAGAAAATACCGTCACCCTTGCGCTGTCGACTGAGATGATGCATATGTGCATCGCATTCAACATTTCAAGGACATTATTCATGATAATGTAGCTACTCGAGAGACTTTTGATGTTGTTGATGTCGCATGACACATGTATGCATTTGACAATGTTAGAATTATGGAAGATATTAATGGATGTGTTTTTGATGTTGATGTGTTATGTTTTGCAATGTGGATTGAATGTTGTCGACCATTGTTACCATTCCATTGTAATAAGAAAATATCATTTACAAAATCAACGACCATTGTTACCATTCCATTATAATAATAAAATGTCATTACAATGTCATTACAATACCATTGTTGCCATTCCATTGTAATAAGAAAATATTAACCACTGTTACCATTACAACAATGTCATCTTACAAAAAACACCAAAAAAAATTCATCAACTAACAAAATAACATGTAACAAAATAACATGTCACGAATCAGCTGTATGCCTACGCCTAGGCCTACGACTGTATGTCAATGTCGAAGATGGAAAGCAACCTCTAGCAGAACTAGGTCTAGTAGAACTAGGTCCAGCTTCGTCAATGTGCTGACCTTCAAGGACATGCGTCATACTCTTGATAGCCTGGTAAAGTCGATAAGGATGTCGAATCCCCTCCTGATAACCAGCGTCAATAATAAGATGTGAAATCTGCAGTGCATGTTCAATACGCTGCATTTGAAAAGAATATCACATTTTAGGGAACATATCAGAAAAAAAAAAGAGTAAGTTACATATGTATGCATAAGAGAGGATAATAGATTACATCCGCATGTTCGCTGAAATCCTTATGGTCATGGACACGCGGTTCATCAGTGTGCTCGACATATAGGTGCGTGATATTCTTATACCAATCCATGCAACCCGGTACACATTGCCAAGGCTGACAAACTGGTGTGCTCCTCCGTTGCTCAGATAACACGTGGTTATCCCAAGCCTCCTAGATCCTATCCAAGTATCTGTACATGACTGTATATTGTGCAGATATGTTGCCTCGCGCACCATGACTGGGAGCTAGCAGTGCATCTGGGATGGTTTGAACCCTGCTAAACTGCCTCAATACTCTATCTGGATGATAGGGTTCGACAACGTCTAAGCACTTTAAGCGTCCATGGTAGAACGTAACCGGGTTACATGGATGCCGGTCTCTGCAACTGTGGTATGGATCCCAAATAATCTATAAACGTAAAGTGTTTTTGAATTAAAGTACATAAAGGGTAAGATAAATGGAAGTGTTAAAATTATCGCAAAACTTACATCAGTAGCTACCAAACTGTCAAGCTCGGCTCGAAAAGATTTCAAATGCTCAATGGAGGAACCCACCTCTCTCCTAGATGCCCAATGGTACACGTGTGGCATGTCTTCATTGTAGCCCATGTTCTGATGAGGTCGGAATGCTCGGAAGTGATCATAAATCCACGCCTCCAAAAGAGTCATATAACCACCCATCTGCTTAACCCCAGACCGGCTAGCATACCCCAACTGTCTGTATAAAAATGCTAATGCAGCAGCACCCCAGGCGTAAGTACGTATGGATCCCAAATCCATCAATAAGCCAAGGTAAACAACGGGAACCCTGCCGCCACTCTTGTCACTGAAGAGTGTATATCCCAACAAAAACAACAAATAAGCTCTAGCAGCGCACTATATAGCCTCCTCGGGGTCTGAATTTGTAACACCAGCAAGCTGACTTCGCAACCATTCAAGCCTGACTGAATTACCACCAGCAGAAGAAACCTCTTCATGTGCTGCACGTTCAGTAATCCCCAAGCCATAAACGAGTAATGTAACTCCATGATGATCTGTCACATCTGGTATGCTGACTGATTTGCCTACAATGGGAAGACCAAGAATAGTGCCAACATCATCTAGGGTCAAGGTCATCTCACTAACTGTCATATGAAATATGGTCGTCTCAGGTTGCCATCTCTCAACAAAACTGGAGATTAGAAGCTTGTTGACGAACCGATAAGTGAAACGAGCTAACTGTGACAGTCCAGGCTGCTCAATAATGGCTTTGAATCTGGTGTTGTTCTCTACTAACCACCATGGCCATGCAAGGATCTTGGAAGAGTGATTATGACACTTTAAGGGCCCCGAACAAGCCTGTTAATCTAACTCTCATGTCGGAACGCGAGCGCTTAGTCGAAAAAAAAAAAAAAAAAAACTCATATACAAATGAATTTCACTTTTACTGAGGAATGTTTACCTCCCCGTGCCAAATAGCTGCAGCCACATGACTATTGAAACTCCGCAGTATTGATGGATTAGTCGGTCCACCTGGAAAAGCATGAGTAAGGTACTCTTCCTGGACAGGAGGAGAATCAGGTAAAGAGGTATCCTCCACAGCAATGTCAGGCATATCATAACGTTCAACTCGTCTTTGGCTTTGGCTCCAACTTTGACTGGCACTGGGAATATCATATTCTACCAAAACTGGATCATGACCTCAACCACGACCTTGACCTCGTCCTCGCCCACGCCCTCGTCCCCGTTCATGGTCTACATCCAATTCACGATGTCGTCTATTTGAAGCAGTAAGTGGGACACGTTGTTGATATTCAGAATCCATATTATCTGCAAAAAATAATAAGTGCGTGTGTAAATAAAGAGAGTGTGTGTAAATAAAGAGAGTATGTGTAAAATTAATGAGAGCGTGTGTAAAATTATAATAAGTGTGTGTAAATTATAATAAGTGTTTTAATGAAGTGTTATAATTAAGTGTTTTAATTAAGAAGGGGAAAAAAAAAAAAAACCTGTTCGGAAGTTCACAACCGAAAATACATATTCTGTTCGGAAGTTGAAATCCGAAACAAAAACATAATTTCGGAGGTTGAGTGTTGTCCAAATTCAATTTTTTTTCAGAAGTTGACTATCGAAACAATGTAACATTTTCGGAAATCTACTGATGAAATTATTGATTATTTTCGGATTCCTACGTCCGAACACATTGTTATATTTCGGTTAACCCATTCCGAACGACGGTTCCAAATCAAAAACTCTACATCCCAAGTGAAAAACTCTACATTACAAATGAAAATGAGGATTGAATAGGAATGATGATTCAAAAGTAAACTCACCTAATGAGGATTGAAAATCTGATGGAATGCTTCAATGGGATGCAGCTTCGTGGATGAAATGCTTCAATGTATTTGCACACCTGGGTTGCACACGGTAATGAGATGGAATGCTTCAATGTATTTGCACACGGTTGAAGATGTGCTTCAGCTTGTATGTGATGGAATGCTTCAAGGTTGAAGATGTGCTTCAGATTCAATAGGTGTGTGTATTTGGGGTCGGGTGTGTGTGTGTGTGTGTGTGTGTGTGTGTGTGAGGGTACATTTGGAACTCGCCGTGTGTGTACTGAGGAAACTAATTAGGAATTAATTTTTTTGGTGTGTGTAGTGAGAAGGATGTGCAAAGAGGGGATTAGGTGTGTGTGTGGGTGATTTTCCGACCACACTGCCCGCTTAGTAACCAGCTGGAGAGCACTAGCAAAATAGATGGCACCTGACTGACCTGCAACAGAAATATAAGAATCCCGCGGTGGTTTCGACCACCCGGGGGCACTCCGACGATCAAGTCAGTATATCTCTCAAAGATAAATCAAGTACAAAACTCACAAGCTTGAGTATAGAATTGTGTACCTTAGACCTATGGGGGTGCCTTTCTTTTATAGTTTACTCAATCCTAGTCTCATTAGAAGCCTGACTTCTATGGACTCCGATTCAATATTGACTTTGGATTCTTCAAGAGATAAAGATAAACTCCCTAAGAGCTTTATCCTTATCTTGGCTAAGTCTCCTCTTTGTCCTAGGACTCTTGTATCTGTATATCTCGGATTCCGATATCTTCGGAGATAACCTCGGCAACCCTGAGATCACCTCGGCGTAACTACCATGATATGTGACACTTTGGCTTATATGTCGGCTTCGTCATGCCACGTGTTGGTATCCAAGAAATATGTCCCCACAACTGCCCCCTAAGTTCTATTACCTCAGCATTCTGAGGTGATGGAACCTATATTGATATTTCTTTTTGCATAGTGGCTAAGAAACTGTTTGGCCGAGATAACTCTTTTCCAAGCCAATGTGTTCGCTTCTGAGAACAAGAATTCAAATGAACTCCATCACGCGCATGAGCTGTCATGCACATCTAACCGTTCCTTTCACGTGTTTTGTCTTCATTGGAGTGTGTCTGTGACGTGCCTGAAAGCTGTCTGTCATTCATCTGCGCCGTCTGACGCGTGCGTTGCTCCAGGCGTAATAAATGCCCTATTTTTGCCGCCGTTTCAAGTTTTGATAAAACTTTTCTTTACATCTTTTTCCCTTTGCTTTACGCATTCGTTTTTCTAGCTCTCTCTCTCTAAACTTTCTGAAATCCGCCATTGTTTTAACTCGAAGTTCTGCGATTCTTTGTCCCTTCACCTTAGCGAAGCTTTCTCCGTTTCGTCGTGTCCGCAATCTTTATCATTCCTCGGCGTCTTTCTTTCCGGCTTCATTTGTTCTGGTAAGGTCCTGTTCCCTTTACACCCAATCTCTTTTATGTGCTTTCACCATTATTGCTTTGTTCAAACCTTGGATTCGCTGAACTGTTATCTGGATGTGTCTATTCATGATTTCACTTATATTTTGAACACTTGCACTGTTTCAACACTTTTCTTGCCATCATTCTTGACCTTTAACCCCTTGTATTCTTCGTGTTTCTGATAGCCCGTCTTTGTTCTTGAATCTGAAACTTCGTCTTTGTTTTCTGTTTTTCGTATCTGTTCCAGATTTGTGCCTTCGATCTTGATCTTTATAGTTCTTAGGCTTGGGATTTGTGTGTAGAACCTTCAAGTTTTAGGGAAAACTGAAACAAGCCTTATCAGTCCTTTCCTAGGCCTTTGTCGAGGTCCTTGCAACCCTTCTAAAACGCCCATCTTCTGAAACACTTTCCTCTTTGTTTAGGCCGACGTAATGGGTATGTAGAGGCATAGGGTAAATACCCCAACAAAACTCGAATACTTTCGGCAGGAGTTTTCCATCCCAACCGATGTTCACCTCAGACTAGCTGGGGATGACGATTCCATTATGCCCACAGATCATACGATGCCCTTTCCTATAGTAGCTTTTACTGAATGTGGACTTCGGCTTCCACTTAATCCCCTGTTTCGTGAAGTTCTTTATTTCTACAAGCTGAACCCCATGCAACTTATTATCAACTCCTATAGGGTGATTAACGGTATTATAGCCTTAGCTAGGCAGGAGAATCTTAGGATCACCCTGGCCGACCTTCAGTACTGTTATACAATGTGCCCCCTCAACCTGAAGGAAAGGGGCTTTGTTTATTACCTTAAGCCGAGGTCTACCAAGTTCAAAATTGTAGCCGACCTCCCAGACTCCAACAAGGGGGCTGGGGATGACTTTAAATTGTAGCCGACCTTCCAGACTCCAACAAGGGGGCTGGGGATGACTTTGTTATTGCTTCGGGAAATTGGGAATTTGGCCCAGACGAAGATGTCCACCTCTACCCTCTTCCTCGAACAGTTAAAGAGGGCAAGGGTAAGAGCCCAGTGCCAACACTTAGTTGTTTTTATTTAAGTCTTTAAAATTTTGTCTGTTTGTAATGTCTGTTTGCTTGTCCTGCAGATCTTCATCAACCACCAAAGAACTTCCGTCAATCCTTCTTCCCTGGAAAAGACTTAAAGAAGCTTCTTGGTCTTCCTATCCACAAGCGCAAGGCTCCCCTGTTGCTAAATTTCATTCCGACATACAAATCCACATTACCCGACGTCCCAAAAAAGAAGAAAAAAAGTCTTTCTCCACCTTCTGCCACAACTCCTCCCATTGCTTCCATATCACGAGCAGACGAAGGATCCACTTCTGACCCAATCGATCTGCCATCTACTTCGACCCCATACTTGATCCCAATACTAGAAAGAAAACGTCGGCGATGCCTTGTTAAAACTACTGAAATGGGTCGTATAAAGCCAGTTGCCCAAAATCTTCTATCCGATCTGCCGACCAATGTTGACGCTGTACCAACCCAGTCTATGCCCCCACCAAAGCCGAAGAGAATTAAAAAGGCTCAAGCCAAAGCCAAGGCCACTGACGCCGAGGCTGAGGATGCTTTGCCTATCTCTCAACTGGCTGAGAGCAAAAAGACTACCTCTGCTTCCACAAAAAGATCCGCTGAGACCCAACCCTCGGGGTCCACACAGTCAAAGAGGCCAAGGTCTGCTTCAGCTACCACTTCTGGGTCCAAGAAATTCGACATCCCCTGGGCCCCACAAATAACTTTGGAGGATAGGCCTATCATGTCAAGTGAAAGTGCCGACGATATTAATGTCGGTGTTGCCCTCAGCACTACTCTTCTCATTCCAAAGGATCTGGAGCGAAATGCTGGGCTCAGCGAATATGAGAACTACGCGCTAATGCTCCAGCACTCCGTTCAAGTAAGTATTCCTGCTTTGAACTTGTAACTTTTCCTTCTGCTTCATTTTTTAGAAGATTCTCTAATACTTCTGCTTTCTTTCAGGCCATTCAGCACGCCCATTCATTTTCAATGCAATCTTTTGAAAATCGGCAAAGATTGGTTGATATGAAGAGGGAAGCGTCTTCCCTGAAGAAGGAGATCAAATCTCTTGAATCAAAGATGAGAAAACTGGAGGACCAGGCTGAGGCTGCTACTAAGGCCCAGCAGATGGCTGAAGAGAAAGTGGAGTCTGCTGAGGCTATCCGAAAAGTAGCTGAAGCTGAGAAGATAGAGGCCGAAGTAAAAAAGGCCCAGGCTGAGAAGGAGCTCCAGCAGGCTTTGGCCACCAAGGAGGCCGAAGTCAAAGAGGCTGACGAAAAGGCCTATGCCCAGGGTATGGCCGACGTCACAGAGGATTATAAACTTCAAGTCAGGCAGGCATACAACAGGGGATTTTCCCTTGGTTGGATGTCCCTGATAAAAAAGCTTGATCTCCCTGTTGACTCGCCCTTTCGTAATGCCGATGCCATTCATTTACTATTCCCTCCTCCAAGTCAGGTTGAAGACGAATCAGAGACTGAGGTTGATGCCGAGGATGAGGATGAAGAGAAAAATGATGATGAGGCCTTGGTGAGGAAACCCAAGGATGCTGCTGAAGCCAAGTCCCCTCCTCCTGCTGAGCAAGTCATGGATTTAACTTTGGATGAGGAGGGTGATGAGGTTGGGGAGGCACCCAAGGAAATTGCCATCGGGCAACTATCATCAAGGATTATAAACTTCAAGTCAGGCAGGCATGCAACAGGGGATTTTCCTTTGGTTGGATGTCCCTGATAAAAAAGCTTGATCTCCCTGTTGACTCGCCCTTTCGTAATGCCGATGCCATTCCTTCACCATTTCCTCCTCCAAGTCAGGTTGAAGACGAATCAGAGACTGAGGCTGATGCCGAGGATGAGGATGAAGAGAAAAATGATGATGAGGCCTTGGTGAGGAAACCCAAGGATGCTGCTGAAGCCAAGTCCCCTCCTCCTGCTGAGCAAGTCATGGATTTAACCTTGGATGAGGAGGGTGATGAGGTTGGGGAGGCACCCAAGGAAATTGCCATCGGGCAACTATCATCCGACCTTCTATTGGCTGAAAGAAATCTGGACAAAACGCTGGCTGAGATTGATGCCGAGATTGAGGCAGAAAAGGTTACCGAGGAGGTTCCACCAGAGTCTTCCGAGGTCCTAGCCCCTCCAGCTGCTAATGCTGAAGAATCCTGATTCGAATGTTTTTCTGTACTTTTTATACTTTGTTTTGTCTTCTGAACAATGTAAACTTCCTTTTATGGCCGATGTGCCTTCCTTTTGAACAATAGTTTTTCTATGGATGCTTCAATTCCTTAATTTCTTTTTGATCTGCTTCTGCTTGGTTGTATGCCTTCTATATTTTGCTGTCTTTGTGCAATCTTCTCGGGGTTACGTACCTCGGGTACAATCGATATTAAACTTTACTTCGGCAAGATACAGACCTTAACCTGTAAATTGCTGCAAAATGTTTAGCAATAACCTCGGCTTTATATCGACTTGTAAATTGCTACAAATTTCAACAAGTGAAGAGAAAGAGTAATCTCAGCTTAACTCCAACTTGTGAATTGCTATAAATTTCAACAAGTGAAGATAAGGAATCAGCTTAACTCCAATTTGTAAATCGCTACAAATTTCAACAAGTGAAGATAAGGAATCAGCTTGACTCCAACTTGTAAATTGCTACAAATTTCAACAAGTGAAGACAAGGAATCAGCTTGACTCCAACTTGTAAATTGCTACAAATTTCAACAAGTGGAGACAAGGAATCAGCTTGACTCCAACTTGTAAATTGCTACAAATTTCAACAAGTGGAGACAAGGAATCACCTCGGCTTATCTTTGGTTAAGCATCATCTCGGTCTAATTTCATTTTTAAACATTATCTTGGTTTGACCAACTTGTAAATTGCTACAAATTTCAACAAGTGATAAACACATTCTTTTTCTTTCTGCCCCCAATATGAACCTGAGTTCTACTTGGGTTCTTATTATTTATGTCTCCAAAAACATCAGTATGTAATTTAATCAGTCATATGTGTTTGAAAGAACTTTTGAGAAAACTTTATTAAAGACATCGGCAAAAAATACTGCACATCTAATGATAGAAGAATTTCAAATTACAAGTGTTCCAAGGTCTTGGCAGTGCTTTGCCCTCGTTATCTTCAAGCCGATAGGCTCCATTGCCCAATACCGAAGTGATTCTGTAGGGTCCTTCCCAGTTTGGGCCAAGTTTGCCCTCTCTCAGATCTTTTTTGTTGCCGACGACTTTTCTCAAGACTAAGTCACCGACTTGAAAATCTCTTGGATTGACCTTTTTGTTGTAAGCTCTCGCAAGCTGTTGCTGGTATATTGCTAGCTGAATTGTAGCTTTTTCTCTTCATTCTTCCAAAAGGTCCAGATCTTGGGCTAAGACTATGTTGTTAGTGCCATTCTCTACTCCCTGGGTCCTGATCCCTGGGATGCCGATCTCCAATGGGATGACAGCTTCTGTGCCATAAGCCATGGCAAAGAGGGATTCCCCTGTTGATCTTCTCGGCGTAGTCCGATATGCCCAAAGCACGTTGGGCAATTCGTCTACCCACTTTCCTTTCGCAGCCTGCAGCCTCTTCTTTATTCCATCCAGAATTACTTTGTTGGATGCTTCTGTTTGGCCATTACTTTGGGAAAAACTTGGTGTTGAAAAGTAGTTCTTGATCTTAAATTTGGCACAAAAGTTTTTGATGAGTTTGCTGTCAAACTGTGTTCCGTTGTCGGCAACTATTGCTCTTGGAATCCCAAATCTGGTGATGATGTTTCTCCAGATAAAGTTCTTGACGTCCACATCTCGGATTTTGGCAAGGGGTTCTGCCTCTATCCACTTTGTAAAGTAATCTGTTGCCACCAACAAGTATTTTCTCTGCCCAGTTGCCTGGGGAAGTTTCCCAACCAGATCCATGCCCCATTGGGCGAATGGCCAAGGGCTGGATACTGGGTTTAGGTCGGCAACTGGCTGATGTATCAAAGGTGCGAACCTTTGGCATTGTTCACACTTTTTCACATAAGCTTCAGCATCCTTTTGCATGTAGGGCCACCAATACCCCTGGGTAATGGCCCTGTGGGCTAATGATCTGCCCCCAGCATGGCTTCCACAAATTCCTTCATGAATTTCATATAAGAAATCTTCGACCTATGAAGGGTGTACACACCTTAAAAGGGATCCAGTGAAGGACCTTCTGTAGAGATGTCCATCTTCTGTTAGGCAGAATCTTGCAGATTTCAATCTGACTTTGTGTGCCTCCTTACGATCTTCTGGCAGTTTTCCGTCTTTCAGGAATGTAACTATTGCATCCATCCAGCTTGACCCAATGTCCACACACATTGCTTGCTGCTGTGTGCTCTCTGGTTCTATGCTCGGGCCCGACATATAGTCGATCATGACTGTTCTTGTTTTCCCAGTCTGTATTGAACTTGCCAGGTATGCTAACGCGTCGGCGTGGGTGTTGTCATCTCGGCTGACTTGCAGCAGTCGGCAGATCTGAAATAGGGCTGCCAATCTAATGACTTCTTTTGCATATGCCGACATCCTTTCGTCCCTGGCTGTAAATTCTCCTGTTGATTGGTTAACAATAAGTTGTGAATCACAAAAAACAATTGCCTCGTCTGCCTCTGCCGCTTTTGCCAGTTTTAGCCCTGCAATTAATGCTTCATACTCTGCTTCATTGTTTGAGGCTTTGAAACCCAAACGGATGGACTGTTCTATTATTTCTCCATCTGGAGATATCAGCAGTACTCCTGCCCCTGCTCCTTGACGGTTTGAACTTCCATCGACGAACAGCCTGAATGAATCGCCGATGTAGATGCTGCAGGGTCTGAGTTTTTCCTTCCCTTGTTCTTTTGCCTTTGGCTGGGCTTCTCCTTGCTTGCTGGGATACTGCTTATCTCAGCTCAACGGAGCCCGATGTTCGACTCTCTCAGGTGTGAATTCTGCCACGAAGTCGGCCAAAACTTGGCCCTTTATTGCTGTTCTTGGCCTGAACTCCAGGTCATACTGGCCCAGGGCTACTGCCCATCTTGCTATCCTTCCTGTTAAGTCTCCTTGTTGCAACAAGGACTTCAGTGGGTGCTCTGTTAGGACCACAATCTTGTGCGCCTGAAAATAATGGTTCAATTTCTTTGAAGCCACTACTAAGGCCAGCATTAATTTCTCCAGTGGTAGATACCTTGTTTCTGCGCTTGCCAAGGTTTTACTTACATAGTAAACCGCTTTTTGCTCCCCTTTTTCTTCTCGGATTAGTACTGCGCTTACTGCGTGTTCTGAAACTGCTAAGTACAAAAACAGTTCTTTCCCTGGTTCTGGTTTGGAAAGAACCGGAGTTGTGGTTAAGTACTTCTTTAGGTCAGTTAGAGCGGCTTCGCATTCTTCTGTCCACAGAAAGTCTGTGGTTTTTTTCACCAAATTAAAGAAGGGTCTGCATTTATCTGAGCTTCTGCTGATGAATCTGTTTAGGGCTGCAGCCCTTCTAGTAAGTATCTGAACCTGTTTTGCTGACGTCGGGCTCTGCAGCTCTAAGATGGCCTTGATTTGGTCTGGGCTGGCTTCTATGCCCTTTCTTGTTACCAGATACCCTAGGAACTTACCTGATCCAACTCCAAACGCGCACTTTGATGCGTTGAGTCGGAGCCGGTATGTTTTGAGTATGTCAAAGATCTCTTTTAGGTCGGCAAGATGTCCCTTAGATTCTTTGGTCTTCACGACCATGTCATCAATGTAGACTTCTACTGTTTTGCCAATCATGTGCTTGAACATTTTTGTTACTAACCTTTGGTAAGTTGCTCCTGCGTTTTTTAACCCAAAAGGCATTACCTTGTAACAGTACAAGCCTTTAGGGGTGATGAACGCAGTTTTCTCCTCGTCTGGTGGGAACATGGCGATCTGGTGGTACCCCCTGTATGCATCCAAAAAACTCATCCTTTCGTGCCCTGAAGTCGCATCTACTAGCTGGTCGATCTTTGGCAGAGGAAAACTGTCTTTGGGGTAGGCTTTGTTCAGGCTGGTGAAGTCTACACAGACCCTCCATTTACCGTTCTTCTTTTTCACTACTACTGTGTTGGACAGCCATGTTGGGTAGTGAACTTCTCGGATGGCCCTGGCTTCCAGAAGTTTGTCTACTTCCTCTTCTACTGCTTCGACGTGCATCAACGTCAGTCTTCTGGCTCGTTGAATCACAGGTTTTGCCGACCTGTCGACATTCAGTCTGTGGCAAGTGACCTCGGGGTCAATGCCAGGCATTTCATAAGGTGTCCAGGCAAATACCTCAATGTTGGCTCTTAATAAATTTTCCAGTTCTCTTTCCTCTTGTTCGTCTAAGCCTGAACTGAGAAGAAAGAAACGTTCTTCGTCGCCCTCCTGGACTAGGATTTTCTTTAGTGTTTCTTCACTCTTTTCGGTTGGCTCCTTGCCGACATCATCTAGGACCTCCATGTCCTTGTCTTCAATCTCTGCCTCCTTTGGCTCTCGAATGTTGCAAGTGGACTTTGTTGCTGCCATGGAGCAACTTTTTGCCTGCAGTTGGTTTCCTCTAACTTCTTCAATTCCATGCTCTGTGGGGAACCGAAGTAGTTGATGTAATGTTGAGGGAACTGCCCCCATTGCGTGCAACTATGGTCTTCCTAAGATAATGTTATATGGCGAGGGTGTATCAATCACCATAAATTCTGTCTTGATCTTCTTAGTACCAGCTTGTACCTCTATGCTTGCGGCGCCCAGTGGCCATGTCGGCGTTCCATTGAAGCCGACCATAGGATTGTTGGATTGTTCCAGGTCGTCAGGATGAAGGCCCAGCTCCTTGTAACATCTGACGTACATTATGTCACAAGAGCTGCCTTGATCTATTAGGATTCGTTTTACTTGGCATTCCCCAACCTGGAGGGATACTACCAAGGCATCATTATGCGGATGCTGGACCATCTCTAGGTCGGCCTCAGTGAAGGTTATCATTGGTCCTTGGCTTTTTTCAGGCTGAGGACTTTTTTCCCCTATTTGGTAGACATGCTGTAAATGCCTTACTCTCTGGGTCTCTCCTCTGACTTCATTCTCGTTGACCCTTGAGTGGATCACGTTAACCACCCTTGGCCTTCCTGCCTGTGGTTGCTGTGCTGGAGGTGGTGGGGCTGCTGGTGCTTGAGGCAATCTTGCCTGTTCTTCTCTTGTTCTGGC